CAACCAAACAAAAAAACCCAAACCCAAACTGTACCAAGAGCAATGACCGTTAACAATACAAGAGAGAAATGGGTTATTCAGATGTGCTGTTGTCCTAGTTTTTGGGTGGGAGGACAGAGAAAAACTAAAGCTCTTTAAAACACAAATATGGGACCGAAACAACAAATAGACGATTCTTGCTAATAAAGCTAAGGAGATACATACAGAGTACGCTAGGATGTTAAACTAGTAGGATTAATTCTGGCTTTGCCTGTGATTAGCAGCATCACACAGGTAGTCACCTACTGAATCAGAAAATCTCAACTTCCTCTGCCACTGCGGTTCTTTTTGTTTTTAAAGCAGAACTCTCACTGGTGGCAGAATATCTGGGGAGGAAGGATGAGAAATTGAAATGTTAGTGAAAGCTGACTAATGCCAAAAAGACAGAGAACTCCTCCGTCCGTTGGGTGCTGACCCTTCTATTTTCTCTCAAATAAGATAACCCCAGTGCATCGCTCTAAGTTAGGTAATCGTGTCCCATGAATCCAGCCAAATGTGTAAGTAGGTAAGCAAAGAGTAAAAGGAAACCCACAAAAAGCTAGTGTGGGAAGCGAGCTGATGAACTGAGCTGGCTGCCCAAACTAATCTACATCCTTTCAGCAGTCACCACAATTGCTGCATTTCAATTAACATACCTTGATTTGACATTTCATCAAGATTCCTGGAGACCTCAACAACGATTTTGTCACCCCAACATACTAACTGAACTGGCTCCAGATCAATAGGGAGTCCATTTCAATTCCACTTTTCAAATTTGCTACAGCCTCAGGGACTGTTTTAACCCACTGCAGAAACATGCTGGACCATACTAGTCTAGATACAAACAATTTTTTTGTAAAGCTTAAAGAGATGAATGCTTCAAAACCAGCCTGAAAGACTATGGAAAAATGCAGAAAGAATGTCACACCCTTTTTCTAAACTGAATTAACTTTCCGTGTGTATTAAGGGCTTATCTTCTGGTGAAAACCACTCAAGATTGTGGAAGGCGTGACGTCCAGTGCAGTAGGTATTTCTGAGTAACTTGATGAATTCTCATGTTTGGGCACTGGCTGTTTAGATAAATTCAAGCTCTTTCAAGATGGGTTAAAACCCAGTAGCTGTGCGGCCCTTGAATGGCCCTGGTGGAGACAAACCCTCAGACATACACATTTTAACAAAACCTATATCTAAAAAAACCCAATGAAATGCATGCTAAGAGACGTGTATTATGGTTATTTGGGACACTTCAAAATTAAGGGATGGTGCTGTGCAAAGAGCAACACTGCCAGTACAAGGGAATTTTAGAAACTAAGGAGTTACCTGGACTGGTTACGCCTTTGTCATACATACAGTCATGTTCCTCTACCTTGGGAAAGATTTGTCACTCTTTCAGCTCCAAAATTTTCGGTCAAGCCTTATAAAACTTATCTTTAAGAGATTCTCACCTCTTCCTAGACCCTCCTCATGTCTTGCATAAGACCACAGTTATCAGACCAATGCTCCAACAGATTGTCACTCTCTTGCATTCTGTACTTCACTGAACTGGTGCATCTATGCTATTCAAAGGCCACCAGCTCACTTAATCAACCCTAAAATTTGTTTTATACTAACATATCTTCTCTGTTGTGATCTAATTTTGTGTCAGCTCAAAGTATTCTCTGGGAATCTTGACACTGACCGTGTGAGGCTCCCTTTGTCCTTGCCCTAAGGTAAGGGGAGATGCTGCCTTCCACAATAGACTGGAGCCTGCCCGCAACAGCCAGAGCTGCATATCTAGACATCAGCTGTCTGTAAAGTGTTCTGAACTACACATACACATCATTCAATCACTAATTGCAAAATCTTGTACTTAATTCAGAAGAAAGAAGCTCCTGTAACGTAGAAGTAATGGGTTAAACATACAGCGTTTCTAAGTGGCTCAGCTGTACAATAGAGAATAATTAGGTATCCATAATAAGGCAGTTTAATAGTACAGTAAATGACATTCCCCCACATAGGGTGTAATTAGTTTCATGTACTTGACACATTCATGCGAGATGTCGGACTGGAAGATTATTATTGTTTTTTCATATCCAATTTTTACTTAGAAGTAGTTTGTCTGCGCATCTTCCTGCTCATTTGAGGATTAACAGTCTATTATTTTTGGAATGAGTTTCCAGTATGACATTTCTCACATTGCTGTTAATTTTCCTTCCTGGCCCCTTCTCAGTACAGTGCATGTGGTTTCTAGTATTTGATTTATTAAATTTGACATACCAAAGCACTTGCTCAGATTGGTCTGTTTGTCAATGAAGACTTTAGCAGAGATAACATTTCCAAAAGGCATGAACATCTGCAGAATGTCCTGGTCTCCAAACTCCTGGGGGAGGTGGTAAATAAAGAGGTTTGCCCCTTCTGGACCTTTAGGAAGACAAAACAAAACAAAAAGTATGAAAACACCTATTACAAGTGCTATATTTAATCTGTTTTTCCATAATACTTACTGAAGGTGATGGTCAGAAAGCATTTCACTTTCTAACTTTGAAGGAACAAAAGCAGGTGGATCATCAAAGGAACAGAGCTGAAATGCAGCTCCTTAGAGCATCCTATCTTGAAAAGTGTTTACTTGCTGATTCTACTACAGAAGAAGTTAAGCTGCAGCCTCCTTCTTCAATTTACTGGAGTGTCTTTCAGTATAATTAAGGCTAGGAAAACAGGTACACCATGTATTACTCTCTCACAATACCCCAAGAACTGCACAAGGAGTCCTCTGCTGCCTCAGACACCTGCCTGGGTTTCTCAGTTTAATTCTTGTTGTGGGAACTTACGGAAATGCAATGAGCTGAGCTCACCTTTGAGTATCACAGGTGTAAACTCAAAAGGCAGGAAACTGGTGGAGAAGTGAATAAAAAAGATAAGACAAAGCAAACCTTGTGACTTGGAAATCAGGGAAGTCAGGGAGAGAAAGATACTCAGAATTAAATTTGTACTGACAAATTGACTTTTTTTTTTAATTTTTCTTTTAAATACAAATTCCCCATAGAAAGCTTTGTCTCCTGGAAGAAACTTTCTAAAATTAGTCTTTTAAAAAAGTTCAAAATAAAGTAGTTCAGTTGAAATTAAAGTGGCTTTAGACAAAGCTGAGCTTTCAAAGAAAGGTGCGAACAAAAAGGTGCTCCAAATATTTTTCTTACAGCCAAAATTTGAGAGACATGTTATTAGTGCTGTTGGTTTAAACACTCATCCTAGCGCTAATAGGTTAATTCTTTTCCCTAGCTCAATATCTCCTTTATAATAACATACTGGAAATGAGAAACGGAGCCAGATATGTGGCCTTCCCATGGGGACTCCAGGAGTGGTACACAAAGGGAGAAAATATTTCCAGTAAAAAAAACATCTCAAGTAACTTGTTTAAGTATTCCCTCACTTAATGGAACCTAAGTGTGCCTCAGATATGATATCCTTGGTTTTCTGGAGAGGAAGAGGAAAGCGCACATCAGATTTATGGAGGAGTACCTTCTGCAACACAGTCACGAAGCCTCACCTCTCCCATACAGAAGAACCAGGCTGGCTGCTCTCTCTTAGCCTGAAGGAAAAGGTTGCAATGCTTGCCCAAAAGGAGGGGATAAATGGATTAGGGAAAAAAAAAAGTTTTTAAAAAGAAATATATTTTTATGGTGTAAAAAAAAAAAGAGGAAAAAAACCTGCCACCTGGAACTTATTTCTGCTTACTACAAGTAAACTATCTTATCTAGAAAATAATTTTTTTTTGAAATAGAAAACCCGTATTAAACAATAGTTTAGAGCATATGCATGAGGCTGTTCACCGTGCTTCAGCATTTAATATTTACACAGCATTTTTGTCTGATACTTTCTCCTCAACCACTCCAGACTCTTCACCATTCCATCAGAAATCATGTTAAGAGACAAAACCCAGTTGTCAGTATTCAGTGATGGAATTTACTCACTTTAATTTAACCCCTTATGAATAGAAACACATACAACATATATGACTGTATTTTAAAAGGGACACTGCCAATTCATAATGACAAAAAAAAAGTAAGCCTACACTCGATGAACACTCATAAACAGAAAAAAAAAATAGAGAAAATCAAAATCAAACTGTCCTCTGATATGTATCTTACAATGACACCAAATAAATAATTACTGCTTTCAAATAGTCTGTTGTCACTGACCAAAGTGAGCAAGATGAAAGATAAATGTAGAGAACACAAAAAAATGAGGAAAAAAGTTAATTAAAAAAAATCCTTTAATTTTAAATAATCCAAGCTGTTAGCAGTAAATGAAGTAAAGAATCCAGAAAAAATATACTTTCTGGGTCCAGTGTCCCTATGCAATAGCCAGGCAGGGGAAGGCCAAATTTGTCTTCCTAGGAAACACTTCCTATAACAGTACAAGGTCCTACTTCAAAAGAGGATAAAAAAAAAATTCTCTTGAGGATATTATACTAGGCTTATTTCCAAAGCTTAGCTCTGGCAAGAACAGTAATGATAAGATAGATACAATCTTAGAAAGCATGCAATATTTTCCTATCCTTCTAGAATTAGCTGGAAATTAGGACGAGGGAAAACAATGAAAACAGAAACAAACCCCCCAAATGCCTGGGAAGTGTGCAGGGGAACAGAAGAGGGGAAAAGGGGAAGCTCATTTTCCTAAACATCTTGTAATTAGTATTCATTTATTCTTAGCAGTAACTTCCTGAGGTTTATTTGCTGTTGGCGCAGGGAGAGGGGGGCAATCATTCACTTAGCTGCTTCCCCGCAAGACCCACAATTACGCAAAGAACCACTCAAAGCGAAAACGGATCTTGTCATTAACTCAAAACCTTAAACCTAATCAGATTAACTCCATTATCATAGAAAATGGAAATCAGAAGAGTGAATGGCACCCATAAAGGGATGATATTTGTTACTGGTGCCTTTTTTACGCGGTAGTTGGTAAATGCTTTTATATGAGAAAGGAAGGTCAGGAAATTATAACTTGAAGGACAGATGGTTAAAAAATAACATTAAAAGTTAAAGTAACAACAGTAAACAGGAGAAAATGGAAAAAATCAAAGATTAGGCTTCTCAAGGTCCTTCATTAAGCCTCTGTGAAAAAATGAACCAACAACACGGCTTTCTTTTTTGGCCGTACATAGCTTGCTCAGCGCGGGAGTTGCTCCGCTGGTGCTTACCTTCCTTCTGGCTGCCCGCGGCGCTTTGCTGCTGCAACAAGCTCTGGCTGTACAACGTCGGCAGCGCGGCGGCAGCGTACTGCTGGATTCCTGAGTAGGCCTGGGTGAGCGCGTCCATCGTGCCGGCCGTACCGTTTGTCAAGCCTGTTGCGCCGAGTCCTCCGTTCAGGGCCGCCATACCTGAGAGCATTTGAGCAACTTTACAAAAAACCCAACAATAGAGAAAAGAAATTGCACTTGTTCATTAGTGCTTTCCGAAAGTCGTTGGTATTATATGACACTGACGACGACAGCAGTGCATGCACAGCTCGGCACTTCACCAAATGGAGACTGAAAACAAAGAAACACGACTTTGGCGTCAGGATCACTTCAGCACAAGGGTTGCACAGCCAAACGGACGCGCATGCAGCCTGCTACTGGCAAGTATGACAGCTCAGCGCTCCTGCAAGCCTCTCTGCCCACCCTCCTCGACACTCGTGCTTCTGCAGAGGGTATCTGAAGCTGGGAGAGTGGGACCTATTTGACCTGTACCCTTGTAAGCTGGCCACTGGGAAAAAACAGTCTGCAAGGCAACCAACTCTGTCTGGACAGCGTCTTTACCAACAGGACATGACCACATCATACCAGAAGTGTTTTGCTTGTGCAGAGTTAGCAGAGAACCCTGGATAACAGCATTTTGAAACAAACCTCTGTACATTTATGGGCCTCATCCCTTTGGTTTGTGGTAGGAAGATGGACTGCAATGCTCGGTGCTTCCATCCTCTTCCAGTTACTCCAGTGACTCCAGAAGAGATGAACAGCAGCACATCTGGAGTGACTAAGAGTGCTTCATCCAGACCAGGCATGGTCATGAAGAAACAAAAGCATTTGGTTCTAGCAACGCCTTTCTTCTCACGGGAAGCAGAGTCGCTTCATTTTTTTTTTTTTCTTTAAAGCGATTCTACATCCTGATAAATAACAGATTAATTTAACTGGGATGACTGCCAAAGAGTAAATTTCAGACTGGACTTCTAGCTGTGTGGAAAATGCCATCCATGCAAACAGTGCTGTCTGCAACAAGTTTTACTACTCTGACTGGATGGTGGACAAACTCCTGGGCTACACCCTCTCTCCATTGCTTCTGTTCCTCATCATGGCCCCTAAATCAGCCACGTTGAAGTTAACAGTGTTAACATTTATCTGTTTTTCATAAATTCCAGGAAAAGTGAATCTTCTGTTAGAGCTACAGTCTCTTTGGCAGTCGAAGGGGTGGCAGAGTTCCGACCCCTGCTCATCGCCCATTTGGGTCAACCAGAGCAGCAATTGCTCATCAGGACTGAGAGTTAGGCCATGCTTTCTGCACAATTATCTATCCCATCCTCCCCAGTTTTTAGGTGAACAGCTCACAAACAACTTAAAAGGGCTTATTCGGGCCCCTTGAAGTACAGGAGATCAGTCACCAGAAAAATGGAACACCCAGAACCACCAACAAACATTTCTTAGACATTGTGTAGTGTTTCTGTTGGCAAAATGATGAGTGAGGTGGCTGGTGGAGCCATATTAAGACCCAAAAGCTAGGAACACTGACAAGAAAGAGAGGGCTTAATTTCCAAGCAATAATAAGGGGTGATATGTAGGTTGGAGAAAAGCGAGGAAATTAAGCAGAGGACACTTTATAGTGAATTAACAATTAAATCCATTAGACTGGGAAACAAGCTTCAAGGAAAGTGACATAAACCTTATCACATGAGTAATTTAGAGATAGAAAGAATACTGCAGGGAATTATCCTGCATTGACAGAGGAGGATAAAGATGCTGACCTACTAGTTTTCTTCCATCTCTTATGTAGATTCAAAAAGTGTATTCCTATGAGTCTCTGATAATCAGGACAATTGCTCAAGTGGCACCTTTCTGGCTCCACCAGAGCCTATGCCAATTAAGAGAATTGTACCGCATAAATTATACCTTTTGATATTACTATAATTTGTGTGACTAAACACTTGACAGAGATGTGATATTCTTAGCCTTTCCTTAATAAAATACCTTGCACTTTGAAGATTTTTCTTTCCCTTCCACCCCACTTCAGAGCATCACTGTATCCTGATAGGAGCTACTGGCTGCCACTACTTTGAACAAAAACCTCTGTCAGAGCACAAGAGAAACAGATATTTGTTGTGTAATGGTTCCAGTCATAAAAGAAAAACTTGCAGACCAAGATAGCTTGTGAAGCATCTCATATCTAAAAGACAGGACATTTGGAAAATTAATGATAATAATGATAATGATAATAATAGTAATACATTATTTGGTCCTGAGCCTGACCTTAACCTGCTGTGATGTTTTTGTACTGAGGTTTGTGTCATTGCTTGCATGGGTTTACACACAGCACTGGTTAAAGTAAAGGCTCCTGATGAAGCAGCTTGTATCTCTCCTTTTATTATAGTGTTGAAATAACTTGATAACAGAGGATGCATTAGGATAACATGTTATCTTTCGTAAGTCATCAGCCTATTAGATAAACATGCTTTGTGCTGCAGTGGGCAGCATCCTCCCTCTTCTTTCACCTAGAATCAATAGTCCCTTCCCACCAAATGATTTCAGATTAGCAAACAGCCAGAGAGCCCTGGCTCACCGCACTGCTTCTGGGAAGGGCGCAGCTGCTGCTACTGCCACGCATGTGTCTAAATACTCTTCCCTCCTAAAGTAAAACAGATCTGCAGAAGGCTCTTGACATTTTTTCTGTTCTTCCTTTTTACATTTTAATGAAATCTACAAGGTCCAGCTGCAGTTACACATCTCTGCCATCTCTTTATTTATCTCTACCAATGCACCTCAGTCTGATATTGAACTCTGGTCCCTTCCTCACTTCTGTGAAATAACCTTTTGGAGTCTTTCATCTATGGCCTTCTATTTTTTTTGAGTTACTCTACATAATACAGAAGTGACAATGCTTGGCAAGTCCAAAGGTCTCTCAAAGTGCTTTCCAAGCACCTTCAAATCCATCCTGAATAGTTTTATCTCCATTTTACAGATGTAAATATGGGGGCAGAAAGGCTAAGTAACTGCCCTGGGTTCACACACAAATATTGTGTAATAGCTGTCCAGCATCCTGAGTCCATGGGCTTCTTTCTTCATTGCAAAGAATCTCTTCCTTCTTCTTTATTAATTTTTCTTCATTATTCATAATTCTTTTTGTTAGTTACATTATTTGAACTTATGTGCCCAAAGGAGACAGTGTAATGTTTTGTCATTTAAGGTTTTAGATGCTTCAAGCACAACTGAGGCAAGACTGGGTGAATCCCCACACCCTTGGAGACAGTTAAACTTGCCATACTCCACCTTCTTTAATTTCTAACACCTCAAGACATCTTTCTACACTGGTGCTCTCTACAACTGAGAGCACCACCAGTCTCCACAGCCCAGCTTCTTTTTCATGGACCCAGCCAGGATCCAGAAAACAGATAAAAGTCTCCTAGTGGGCTCAGCCTGGAAGACATTCTCCTTGTGATTTGCACATACAGAACAGGACATGGCTTCAACAGCAGAGTACTTCTTCCAACACCTCTGTGTAAATCAATGTCCAAGCCCAGTGCCACCTTCTGATTAATTTTTCGGTTAAGCTCTGCTTGACTTGTGCTTTGGATTGCCCTTGTTAAGTCTCCAATTAGAAGCATCTCATTCAATTCCAACTTCTCTGCACAACTACCTCAGGAACCTCCATGACCATTGAATCTTTTTACTGGAGTGCTTATGACCACGGCATAGTGTGAAACATGAGACTCACTGAATGTGAGGTTTTCCCTTAGGCAGGTTTGAGTGTGAACGACTGGATCAGACATGGTGGTGAGGAAAAGCACTGGCCTGCTGTTAAAATAAATAAGGGAGGTTGTTGTAACTTGAACAATGCTTCGCTATTGTTAGCATCACAAGTAACTGAAATTGATAATCAGTGCCTTCCTTTTCAGAGAAACAGAGCCACAACACCGTGTTGTGTTGTGGGGAAGCAGTTTCCCCTCTTTAGATCTCTCTCATATGTGCATATACATAGACAGACATATCCACATACATTTTGTAAGTGCTACACACATACAGATATTCTAGGCACATACACTCTCTGTGTCCTTAAAAACATCCATGAAGAAGGCTTGGGACTTAATGCACTTTTGGTACAAGTCCAGGAAGTAATGGTGGCTTAAAACAAGCTGAAATTTGGTACTAGGTTGTGAATACGTCATCAATACTTCGAATTACACATGCAGGTAAGCTTGCACACACATCACCTCAAAATACTTGCTGAGAAAATGTAAACACTTTGCTTGTAGCCTAGCAAGAAGTGTTTAAAAGGAGTGCAACAGAAGGGTTCCCACTCAAAGTCAAGAGCTCAGAGGTGATTCATTATTGCTCAGTCTTAATGGAGGGGGCATTATCTTGGAGTGCTCCAGTGTACCTGGGTTCTTGGTACTTGTGGGAGGGAAGGAGTGGGATGCTATACTCCTCTCTTGATATTCTGACTTCTTATAAACCAAGTAAAGCACAACGATTGTTTACCAGGAAAGGACATTTAATGATTTCTTACTTATGACAAGGTAGCTCCCTTACTACAAGAACCCATGAGAGGTGGTAAGTTAGCTTTTCATGCATGCCATTTTCAGTGGCTTGCTTTAATACTAACATAATAACAAGAAATGAAATAACATCTGCCTTTTTGGGACCTAATACTTACTCTTCTTAAGTTGCTCTTGAGTCATATACACTATGAGGTTGTTAGTGTGAAATACGCATGTCCTTGCCAGAAGCAAGACCTGTTTTACACAAGACCCCATGCAACCACTCAACATTGCTACATGGACATCCATTAGCCCCCTTCCTTCCCAGCTCCCAACAATGACAACCAGAGATCACAGGACAAAAAGATTGGGTGAGCAGCCAAGTAACAGTGACAGAAAGGACATCATGCAGAGCATCAGAGTGAGCAAGAGATACTGAGGAGGACACCCATTCCTGGGGGTACATTATGATGGGTCATGGACTGGCAATGACCAAATAGATTCCTTGCATTGCAAAAGGAAATGCAAGGAGCAACAGCAGCTAAAAAAAAAGGAGGGGGGGGAAATGTCACTGGACACATCTCTTCCATTGCAGGCAAAAGTGAAATCATCATAGCAGAAACAATAAAAAACCAAAAAAATCCTTCTTCTTCAGGAAAGTCTTGACCAAGGCTAAGAACAAGGAAGAATGTTCTAACAACTACCGGCATCTATTTAGCTGGAGATGCCAGGGTTTGTTTCAGATGTCATAGGATAGATGTGCATGCTCTGGTATTACAGGTGACTGAGAGCATCATTCTCTTCTATTTGCCAATTAAAAGCGAAAGACTTGCCTTCATTTTTAAAGTATGTTGCTCTCAAGTCACTTTGATAATTCCTACAGACATTAAAAGACTGCCTCCATAGCAAACACCTTTCTTATCACTACATTTCTAAGTGAGGTTTTGTACATTGGGGTGATTACCTGTTTTTAGACTCCCTAAATGAAAAAGGAGCCTCTCCTCTAACCTAGATAACCCAAATGCCTGGTGACATTTCTTTTACCTTCCATATGCCCAGCAAGAAAAGGAGTCTTTGTGCAGGGACCCAAGGGACTTCACTTTGCAGAGCAAACTATGTGAAACGAAAAGCCTCCAGAACGGCACACATAGATCAACTTGACCCCCTTATTTTGTATATAGACTAAAAATAATAATATCATCGCTTTACAGTTGATAGTTTTTGTGGCATGATTACTGGGGAAGGCTGTCCACCACAGCAATAAATACTCACTGTTTACGGTACCTGCTAGTGCATTAATATTATTCAGTCCAACAGTGGCTCCAGCCAATCCTTGGAGAGTACCCAGAGAAGTCAAAGAATTCATGGCCGCACCAGCTGTGGAATTAGCAGTTGATGCAGCCACTGAAAGGAAAAAAAAAAAGCAAGGCAAAATTAAAGGCCATATTTTGCTTATTTTATTTGATCACAACCCATCTTACAACAATGCTGAGCACAACAACAGGGCTGCTTGCAAGAAAAAGAAAAAAAGAAAATGAGACCAATAGACCAACCTTGTTCAACATATTAATAGCATGATTATTCATGGAAAGTGTTGATGAGCCTTGAACTGAAGGGCTGGATCACAAAATTCAGCATTGTGCTTTTATTTGCAAACATAATACAGAAACAGTAAGTATGGGATCAGTCATTTTCTCCAAAGTTTGTCAACCAACCTAGCATCCCAGGCTGACCAGCTAACCAGGATACTGAAATTTTGCCACATTTTAAACTCCATCATTAAAAAAAAAATTAGAATTACTCACAGTAATTTTGTCATACAAAGGCTTTCTGTTCTGAGCCCCAAGTCTTCTAAGAGAAATTTTATTTATTCTAAGTGAGACACTATGCCATTATGGCTCTGCTCTAGGACACTGTGTGAACATCATTTAAAGTCTTGAAGTTTACAAAAAGAAGAAAGGCCAGCCAAATACAAAATTTAACTACTATCCATTTACCACAGGCTTTTAGCTTGGCCTTCGTACATAACTACTCATGTATGTGCACCCCATAAATGATACTATCTGCATGCCCAAAAACTCTGCCAGGGGAAACTGAGGCTCAGGTGGAGAAAAGGTCCTTGTGGCTACAGTGCCAAGGGAATGATGAAGGTGGATGAGATTAATCCATCTAAACTACAACACTTAGGAAGAGAAAGAGACTCACTCTCTTGCAGAAAGTAATGAAGGACCTTACAAAGAGCTATCCTAAATGATAGGTTGGATGAACTAGAAAGATGCGTCTCTCTCATAAAAGGGCCTTGAATAACCAGTGTAGATTAAACACTTAACTTACAGGTAGGTAAAGCTGTACCAGATGAATCACACTCATAAAAGCTGCAAAAGCAATTAGGTTTTTAGCTTGTCTCCTGAGCCCCACTTTAGTGCATCAATCATAAAGACTTTCTTTTCCTTTAAAAAGTTGTATTATCTTCTGAAAAGTGAACATCTAAAGTCAGTTTTGTTGATGATTTTTACCAGAGGCAAATCATGTCTACATCGTACTTTTCTGCTCCTATTCATTGTCTAGCTGTGAAATGGTTAAGACCACATTTATCTTGATGCTCTTTTGAGCTGTCAAACCCACCAGATTACTCTGTAAATCCTCAAGAAAGTGAAGTCTATACAGGAACCAGTAAGGAAAGTAGGAGGCAACTTGTTCACTCTGTGGGTCAACCTTAAAGCTCTAACCTACAAATACCCCATATTTACAACCTTAATAACCCACCTTTACAACCTTAAGACCCACCAAAGACAAGCCTTCACACTCATGAGACTCTCTGGGTGTGGGTGAGGAGAGGTTTCCAGACTCCATGAGGCATTTCTTGTCCCCACTTCCCCCGTATCCGGAATGTTAACTTGAATAATTTTATATGTTGCAGATAGAAGCAGCTTTGATTATTCAATCTCTCTCCGCAAAGCAATAAGAAGCCAATAATGTCTTTGATTAAAAAAAAAAGTAATCAAAAAAAACCAAGCAAAAAACCACTTTTGTCAGATAATGTGGGCACCAACAGAGAACAGAGAAAAAAATCAAAGTGAATGAACGTCAGTGAATTCCCTGTGACCAACACTGCTCCGTGTTTCTGCTCATGTTCATTAGCAGATCATTTAAATGAAGTATATAAACCTCACATCTGAAGGATCTGATTGGTTTTGACTGGGCTGAATTCCATCCATTTCTGTTTCAGAGGATTATTACCCTTTTCTCTTGAGAAAACATATATTTAGGAAATGAGAGAAATGGGGGCTAGGAAACTGCCTGAAAATTACATTAAAGCTCTTGGGGGCAAATAACTCCTGTGAATGAGAGCCATACGCTTATGGATCGTCAACACATCTGTTGGAGAAGGCAGAAAAACCTGATTAAATCCTTCCCTCTTGCATGGCTCACAGAGTACGTTATGGTGGCTCTTATCATAGTCTCACTGCTCAAACACATGCTCCAGGGATGGCCAGTGTCTGGGGCCAACATCTCTTTTCTTCTTTTATTCACATCAAATTTCTCTATTCCTTCTGACAAACACAGGGCAGGTGCCTCAGTGATCCTTGCATCTGAAGTCACACTGTAGATTATCTAGTTTGCCTAAATAATGATTTGGCGTATAATCAATGTAAAATACTAGTTGGAGCACTGAAGCACCTCAGAAATCAGCGTTTTGTTGTTGTGGCTATTTCTTCTGCTTAACAGTGATCTGTCTCACAGATCCACTGGGACAATGCTTTTTCTTCTTTGGCTTATTATTACTTTGAGGAGAAAAATCTGAACAAATATTGTGGTTTCCATTATCTTATTGAGCATGGGGTGAACAGAAAGGAATGGAGCTCCTTTTGTTAGGGCACTTGTAAAGGACGATCCAGCACCTTGCTGCATGAGGTTTCCTGAGAGACTCCACTCTAGTTACCTCCTTCCCTTTGACCAAGACATGCATGTACGAAATGAAACCAGTGATGAGCTAAAATACTATAATAAAGTGGCCATAAAAGGTTCAAGATATTGAGAGGTGAAAATTTCTCACAAAATGTTGGACAAAACCAACAGATGACACGATGCTATTCCCTGTTGCCAAAAAAACTTAAAGGGAGATGAAACAAAAGTTAAAAGGTCCTACAAGACATGTGTGGAGGCTTAGGCTATCTGAAAGTTTTTACCTCACGTGCTCCCAGAATACGTTGAAATCCATCTAAAGACAAGGACCATGCTTCTCCCATCCTTTGCCCTTTGATAGTTTCTTTCAGCTAAAAAAATGTAACACATATTGAATCAAAGGGAAAAAGAAAAATCACACCCTTTGTGATAGCAGAAGGTGACTGCACTACTTTGGGGGAACCTGTATAACTCCCTCACGTCAGCAAAGCTCTTGGGCTCCACAACTGCTCAGAGTAATGGCAAAGGAAGTATAGTTCACTGTCAGAATAGCATTATTCTATATTTATGGCTTTTAGTTGTCCAGATGACAAAAATAGATTGGATACCTACAGAATTTATAAATTGTTTTTTAGCAGGTTCCCCTGCCACCAAATAAATTAAAAGAAAACATTTCGCAACTCCCTCCATCCTCCACACCAGCACATTGCTGCTCTGAATCGAATCACTTCATAGTGCTGCTTAATAAACAGTAGGCATCTGTCTCCAGGTACTTAGACAGCTTGATGTACGGAGCCATAGTGCCACTAGGAATTGCCTTATTTGTGCTGCTGGTGCACCAGCATTCGGTGCAACAGGGAGGAAAATCAGAACACACAAAAAAAAGTGCAAATGACTTGGGCTGCTGGTGTCACTCTGTATGGCACACCCTGTACCCACAGCATGTAGTGTATTATTTTTCTCTTTATACTGGGAATTTTACCCTTGCCTCCTTAAAACCCATACATGTCAGGGAGTCAATATGTTTCTGGAGCAGTATTAAGTGAGTCAGCTAATACTGAGACTAGGGGGAGAGATTCAACAGGCTGGAGCTCCAGCCTGATGAATGCCAGCTGAATATACAACAGTTGGTGAAGAACAGAGACGCTTTTTACCAGCTGCACCGATCGTTCCCTCACAACGATAAGCCCTGGATAAACATCGGAACATGATAGATACGATTTGGTCTCCTCAAAGGAACTTTTTCCTCTCTAACATCAGTCATCGGAATAAGCCGACAACTTTCTCAAAGAGGCTGTTGCTCAAGCAGAGACTATTGGCAGCAGCTGCAGGGCTGAATCCTTTGGCTGTTGTTGCAAAAGTTCAGACAAGATGTTCATCATATTCCCCGCTGACCTTAAAAATCTATTAATACGTGAAAATAACATCACAGCGTTGGATAAAGAAGTCAGTTTAGACTTGTAGGAGTAGTTGTCCTGTAACCTGTAGAACAATCTGCTCTGTTTCCTGCAGGCACGCTGCGTGCTGGTCACCTGTTGCCTTCTCCATCCAGGCCACATACAGAGGCTTTAGAGAACACTTCAGCATCTCCAACCATGAGAGGTGAGAAGGTTAACAATGTTTATTTTAGCATAAGAGACCTTACTGTTTCTTCTTCATTGACCCCTCTATTCCCACATTTGTGTCAGTCTCACAGCCTTCCTCCTCTTTCTTCCAAACTCAACTCCAATTTAATAAACATCCAGAAAACTTTAATACAAATAATATTATTAAGAAGCTGTGAACTGGAGAAGGGCATGGCTGCAGCCTTTCCTCAGCACACCCCCAAATCACTCCCAACCCCAGCCATTTGATCTTACTGTGCTTTCTCCATTTAATTGATGAAATTTTTTGCTGTCAGCTTCATTATAAATAAAGAGACTTAGCCTTTGGTTAATCAATTCTTTAACAGAGCTCTCTTTGATACAGAGAACACATTTTCATTTGGAGTGGTTGCTCTACACGGTATAGATATTTGTGTTTAACTAGTAATGTTGCATTCCTAGAGATTTTTAAGCCTGGAAAGAGCTGGCATTTTCAACTATTCTCCTCAACACATTTATTTCTGCCTGTAAAAGGTTATAGCACCTTTTAGGTCAGAGATTTTTTTTAATGGAAATCTAAACTAGCAATGAGCCATTTCCCTTTTAATTTAAATAACATTTCAGCACAATTCCTAACTACTATGCCAACCTAGAAAAAAAAATGGTATTAGCATAGAAAGTTTTGGCCATTGTTTTGATTAGCTTATATCCAAAAAGTCATGATGATTTACATCATTTGGATGTACATCAGCTGGAAAACTAGTTTCAGGATTAGAGCATCTAGGAAAGGCAATGATGTGTAAATATTTCTTTGGCTTTGCTATGCACACTGTGGATGGGATTAATTTCCCCAACTTTGGCAACCTTGTTAGTTTAAGCTAGTCTAGTCCAAACGCTTCTTTTGGACTGTCTCTG